TTCGTTAAGGTGTGAAGTTTCGCTGTCAAAACTGGGATAACTAGCTATACCAATTGAGGGTAATTTTGTAAATGCAATCACCTGAGAGAAGTACGGAACAAGTAACATTCTTGAACACTAATACAATAATCAACTGAGAGAAAGGACGCGAGAAGCAGCATAATCCGTTGAGATGTTGGAATGCAATACTAGTATTTAAAAAAGGTTATGTCATGAGCAGGATGGGAGAAGTAGCTTTACCTGGTGAATTACTTGCAAAGTATATATACCCACATATGCATCACATTTTCTCATGAGTGAATGCTTGAACCACTAGCTATGGGCTACCCACCTGCCCGCATGTACTCTGTAGCTGTACTTTATGACTGCCTGACTGACTGAGTTTGGTTTTACGCCGCTTTTAGCAATATTCCAGCAACATCACGGCAGGGGACACCAGAAATGAGCTTCACACATTGAACCCATGTGGGGATTCAACTCGGGTCTTCGGCGTGACGAGCCAATGCTTTAACCACAAGGCTACCCCACCGCCCTGTACTTTATGAAGTCTATTGTTCAGTCTGATTCTCATATTTGTTGATTTCATTGAAGGGGTTAACGTCTAGAACCTGCATCACCTCAGGCCATCCTTCCACGTGAAGCTGACATGCTCAAAGCAGCATTACACACAACTCACTCCGCCCTGTTCAGTTTAAGGCTGTATTGCTAGTTTTTGAAATATTATTTAATTTTTTGACTTGCCAATTTTTTTTCAATTTTGTCTGAAATTATTGATCGTCAGAGTGCATGGGTAGCCTGGAATGTCCAAAGAAGTGCAGATCGATCGCTGTGTAGAGTTTTCTTCCTTACATGTGGCAGTTACCTAACATGCTTATATACCTTTGGGATTTTGCTTTAATCATTGTGATTTATATTCTACAAATTATGGGGATTATCGTACATTAATGAACTATAACAGAAACAATATTTATAATTCATTTGTTCAAACACTGCTTTGCATTTTGTAGTTTACTCCTTGCACTGCATGTAAACAACGTGTAGATTAGCATGGTATCCAATTTGGTTTGGTATTGTAGGGAGCTTGTAATTTAGGTTACACTTAATACCATATTATTTTCGGAATTCTGTCGAATAACTGATGGGTGAGCATGTGAAATTTTGTACTAGTATTCCAGATAGAAGTGACATGTGCAGTGGATACTCTTTAAAATATACCCGTGAAGATACGGGATAGAATGAACCTTCAGTAACCCATGCTTGTCGTAAGAGGCGACTAACGGGATCGGGTGGTCAGGCTCGCTGACTTGGTTGACATATGTCATCGGTTCCCAATTGCGCAGGTCGATGTTCATGCTGTTGATCACTGGATTGTCTGGTCCAGACTCGATTATTTACAGACTGCTGCCATATAGCTGGAATATTGCTCAGTGTGGCGTAAAACTAAACTCACTCACTCACTTTTGAAAATAGCATTGATGTCCTTGTATTGATGGAGAGCGATAACAATTTGAAACAACATACAAACTACGCTGGGTAGCTAAGGTTATTACTGTCACTACCGTAAAATTACTGAAAGTTACTCCTTTATTGAGATATCACTGGTAGGGTATTACTTGGGTAGACACATGCCAATGATGGTTGGTTAAGAGCTTGATTTCCCCTGATAATGCAGAGCTGTATAGCTAAGGTCATTTCTGTCATTACCGTAAAATTACAGGATGTTACTCCATTAAAATATTACTGATCGGGTATTACTAGGGTAGACACCTGCAAGTGCTTGTGGGCTGAAATCCCGGTTTCCATGATAATGTATCAATGTGTGTCATCACCATACCTAAGCACGTGCTTACGGTGCATATCTCTCAGATCACAAATCAACTGAAGTTAAGCAACGTTGAGCGCAGAGAGTCCTTGGATGGTGATCGTGTTTGGCAGCCTGACTCCTGAGAGTTTCTAGGACTTCAGTTCTGCCCCACAACGAAACACATGTGACACATGTGGTCTCACCTTTGGCAAGTGAGTTTGTTCAAAATTGCCTCTGTTCACCCAGCAGAAAAATGGGTACCCGGTGGGATAAGTCATGTGACTATAACCTTCTAGCGCCTCACAGGCAGCTTGGGTTACCCCGGGGTAATAATAATCAGATTGTAACAAATTTGTAGCGCTTTGAGCATGCACTAGTGCATTGAGTTTAGCGCTCTACAAATACACTGTATTATAATTATAATGAAAAGTTGTAAACATCCGAGACCTGTGTGACATTATGCCGACAAATTGTGACAACTGACACAAAGTGGTATTGAAGTAGACTCACAGTATGTGATGATACAGATCATAGCCGCCATTAGTGTATTGTTCCAGCCTGTGAATGTATGGCCATAAAAACCATGTGCTTCTAAGTATATTGTTATTGTATGCTGATAGAAAGGAAATCAGCGGGATTAATATTGAAGTGGGTTTACTCCACGGAGATGGCAAAACAAACACTCGCGCTATAACCTGACATATCAGTGCAGATGTATTGCACTCTATGTGAGATAAAGTGCGCTGTGTTTGGGTTAAAATAATATGCCTAAGTGCCTTTAAGTGGCATTTATATTCTCCTAAGGCCACAATGAATATTGTTTTTATTTACATCCTTTTCAGAAATAAAGGCAGCTGATATTTTGGTTATTATATTTTTATATTTGTCATCTTTTTCATTTTTATAATAAAATATCAATGGTATATCTGTACATTATTTGTTGATATACATCGTTCATAAAAACACTGATGTATGGGTGAACTATCGTGTTGTGTATTGATAGTTCACCCATAGAAACAAGGCAACAAATTTGCAGATTTTCTTCTTCTTTGGGTGCTGGGGCACCTTGCCCCTCAAACATTTTCTCTGAGGAGCTCTGGTACTCTGAGGGATTTGTGTTTGGTAGTGAGGTAGATATTTGGTAGTAAGGTGGATGATTGACAGTGAGGTAGATATTTGGTAGTAAGGTGGATGATTGGTAGTGAGGTAGATATTTGGTAGTGAGGTAGAGAGGTAGATATTTGGTAGTGAGGTGGATGTTTGTAGTGAGGTGGATGTTTGACAGTGAGGTAGATATTTGGTAGTGAGGTAGATATTTGGTAGTGAGACTATGTTTGGTTGTGAGACTATGTTTAGTAGTGAGGTAGATATTTGGTAGTAAGGTAGATATTTGGTAGTGAGACTATGTTTGGTAGTGAGGTAGATATTGGTAGTAAGGTGGATGTTTGGCAGTGAGGTAGATGTTCGGTAGTGATCAGTTACATCATATTGTGCAATAGTGAAATATTGGTCTTTCTCTTCCTCTCAAGCTTCATTGATGCAGCAGAAATCAAATACGTTTCTTAAACTGGGCACCAAGGTCTGGACATTATTAGTTGGTCCCACAGGGGCTTGTAATGCTAAAAACTGCCATCAAGGTATATACTGTCACTGACGGGGTTTTAGTACTATATAAAAGGAAAGGGATGTAACGAGGTCAACACACCAAGTTTGTTTCAGGGCGAATTCAACAATGCTCACTGTATTTATCCCATTTAAAGTATGCGCACATTTCAAGCCAATAGATTTACCTTCACAATGAGACATACAGCACAAAAATCGAAGCAGTACTTTGGGAGCTGGGGTCTTTGGAAGCTCGAAAAATCGTGATTTCTCAATTCCGAGCCAAAATCCGTGCTCAGAATTTGTAGCGGTAACTCACCCATTTTTTTTGTTTATTTCACAGTATACACATACAACATTCACCAAAACATGTTGAACTGATGGCGCCCGTCAGCGTGCTTAGTAAGTCGCCATTCTTTCAGAGACACTTACACCTCACTGTCATAATGAGTTTACGTACATTTATTCATTGCGAACAGAATTGTGTCGTGCCTGTTTGCCATTGACGACCTTGGCCTTAACCTGCCCCGCACTTAATAGGGCAAGGGAGCTCATTGGCTAAAAATAAATATGTCCCATCAAATCGCTGACTCTTTTCGTTACATCCCTTTCCTTTCATATGGTACTAAGACCCCGTTAGTGACAGTATATACCTTGATGGCACTTTCTAGCGTTACAAGCCCCTGTGGTTGGTCCAGTATAAACTAGACCTCTTAATAATATCAGCTGTTTCAGACCCCTCAGTTTTACAGGCTGATTCTCAGAAGTCGACTCTGAGATTGACTCTATTTCTTTCCACATGTGATGAGAGGGCGGGTCTTAGTCTAGGAAACTCTATGGTATTTTAATCTAATAGAGAGGAAGCACTTGCTCATGTAGTGTATTTTGATATGTTGACTTGGTGAACAGAACTGATTATGTGAAAGGGGCGGTGGGGTAGCCTAATGGTTAAAGCGTTGGCTCGTCACGCCGAAGACCCGGGTTCGAATCCCCACATGGGCACAATGTGTGAAGCCCATTTCTGGTGTCCCCCGCCGTGATGTTGCTGGAATATTGCTAAAAGCGGCGTAAAACCAAACTCAGTCGGTCAGTCAGATTATGTGAAGTGCTGTTGTCAACATTGACAGCTAAATGGGAAGATTTTACAGTCTCTTCAAACACCTGGGTTATTATCCAATTCACTGTTGTATTCACGACTGTTGTATTCACGATTGTTGTCTAGCAATGTTCCAGCCCTATGTTTGTGGTCTTTAAATAATTGAATCTGGACCAGACAATCCAGTGACTGACATCATGAGCATCGATTTTCGCAATCACATCAACCAAATCTGACCACCTGATTCTGTTTCCCATACAACAAGCATTGTTGCTTCTTACAGAAAGCATGGGTTGCTGAAGAAAACATCAGGCTCCATTCTTCACAGGTTTAAACCAAAGAGGAGATGTATGAAGTAGAGATGGCGGAAAATATTGAAAATTGGAAATATAGTTGATGGGAAGATGATGGTTAGTCAGGCATTTGCAGATGTATTTGTTTCCTATGCACTGATGTATTGAAGGTGTGTCACGCATTCACGGATGTGTTTGTTTCCAGGTTACAGAGGCTAGAGAAGCGGGTGTTTGTGGACAACGGTGACATCCCCTCCATCGTCCACGACATGAAGGAGAAGGTGGAAGACTTTAAGGAAAAACTAGAGGTATGTTTAGGAACATGTAGAGATATGTCTTGGATCAGAAGTGTCCCATGTGCACCATGAATTCTAGCAACTCCATCAACGTGGTTCGGTGGCCCTGTCATTGATGTGATTGCCTGTGAGGGTCAAGGTCAGGTTGCATCCCCACATGACTGTGAAGCCAACTCCCTGTTTCTGTATTGATATTGTTGCAGAAATCTAGTCTTGATTACTGTGTGTATATTAGCAAAGTGACACTTGCTTGAAACCAGTGTTAGTATCTAAACTGAAACATTGCATATAGTGTAGTAAAGATGTTGTATTTCTGGGGAACTATCCCGTGTGGCGTGTGGTCCTGTGCACAGAGCTCAGGTCACGAATCAGTTGAAGTTAAGCAACGTCGAGCTCGGACAGTCCTTGGATGGGTGACCGTGTTTGGCAGCTTGACTCCTGAGAGTTTCTAGGACTTCAGTTCTGCCCCACAACGAAGCACATGTGATACATGTGGTCTCACCTTAGTTAGTTTGTTCAAAATTGCCTCTGTTCACCCAGCAGAAAATGGGTACCCGGTTGGATAAAGTCATGTGACTATAACCTTCTAGCGCCTCACAGGCAGCTTGGGTTATCCGGGGTAATAATAATCAGATTCTGATTAAGAGCCGCGAGCAATCACTTGGTGTTTGGAGACTGTGCGCTATAGAAGATGACTTATTATGATTATAATTATTATTGTTCACCACACCAACTTCTAAATGCCAATCAAAGAAGTACTTAGATGACCATAACACTCAACTTTAACAAAAAACCTACGATATAGATATCAATAGTGCTATGATCGCTTTATAGGACTGGGTCTTTTTTTTTTTTTTAATTTTGTATTTGTTGCATTTTTCAACATTTTATACAAACAGTTAACAATGATATTCCAGTATACATGATGAACAGTCAAATTGTTTTAGCAGAATAAATCATGACATGACGACCAGAACTTGTAGAAAGCATTGATATCACAACTAATTATTGACGAACACTTTGTTAGCATATAATATTCGAACAGTTTATGTTGAAAAAGATGGCATAGTGTTGTTAAACTTATTTCGAAAAATTAGTTCTTTGAAAAGAATTAAGATGATATTTATTGGATTATTGTTTTTATTTGGATAACCAAGCAATACATGTTTCTTTTCAATTTTCAGTTTTATTTGTGCTTTAGCATGTAGCCAGTTCTCAAGTTGTTTCCATATATGGTTTACCTTGCTGCAAGACCAGAAGAAGTGGATAGTTGTTTCTATATCTTCGGAGCAAAAACTGCAATTACTAGTGTCTTTATATCGTATCTTTTCTAAAAAAATGTTTGTTGGTAAGATATGGTGTAAAAGTCTGTATTGGAACCATTGTAGTCTAGTATCTTTCGTACATCTAAAGGGAATAATATTGTAAAGACTGGGTCTTAGTGTTTTTAGTTTTATACCACTTTTAGCATTACTCCAGCAAAATAACATCGACGGACACCAGAAATAGACTTCAGTCATTGTATCCATGTGTGGAATCGAACTCGGGTCTTTGGTGTTACAAGCTAATACTTTACCCATTATGCTACTCCACTGCCCTGAAAATATGGTATGAAATGGATACAGATACTGGTATGACGTAACTACAGATACATGTGTGAGTTGGTATTGGAGGAAAGATGTGCCGTCAGTTCCTCTGTAGTATGGAAACTTCACTTTCACTGGATATCTTGTTTCAGGGTGTTGAACATTTAAGCTGGCTAGGTCTGTTCAAGGATATCTCAAGTGGTACATCATTACAGCCATTTTGGGACAAACAGAAATCTCTCAAAAAGAGTGAGCAGCATAACCGACGGGTTTTTGAAAAGTTTATGAAAATGAGGTGAGTATATCTTTAACCATCATCTTAATTATGCATGTGTGCTTTGTTAGGGTTTGCTTTGGTGATGAGAAAATATGGTTCCATGACATGTGTTGATGAATAATGTGTTTATGTGCACAGTAAAATGATGGTGTTCAGTGGTGTCAGGGAATTGATTTTACGTGAGTAAATAGGTTTATGATCATGTACGTCAGGCTTGATGACATGTTTGGTGCTTGTCGTTGTATCCCTTTTGTGTAGATGTATGTTCATAATGCTAGCTACAGATTTGTCTGGACCAGATTCAAATCCTGCTTCTTGAAATTCCAAGAAAAATACATTGGAAAATAATATTTGTCATGAAGACTGTTAATATTCTGTAGCCTTCAGGATAATTACAAATGACAACTTTTTGCAGTCAAGTCCAGATGACAGATGAAGTTCGTGACTATTTACGGAAGCCTACATTTGACAACTGGCAGTGGGACGACTCTGAAATGCTCATCCTTCTCCGCCAGATGTACATAGATCTCGGCTTTGTCACAAAGTTCAATATCGAAGTAAGTCATTGCAAAGAATCTTCCATAATACTGCATAATTCTAGTTTACATGTATTCTCACCAATGTTTGCACAAGAAGGGCATGCAAACGTGTCTGTGTACCAGGCTTTGATGTACCAGGTTGTGATTATGAAATATTACAGATTGTTGTGATGTCGTAAGTCGATGAAATATTGAGGAACGGGACCCTTGGCTAGAATTGGTCTTCAGCAAACCATGCTTGTTATAAGTAGCAACTTATGGAATCGGGAGGTCAGGCTCATTGATTTGTTTGATGTATATCATGATGGTGGTAATCAAACAATCACATTCTGCCTTCCATATAAAACAACATTCATTTTTTCATGAAAGGGTTCGCTCCCAGCCATGATGGTATTCGGTGTAATCGTATGTAAGAAGCGACTAACGGGATTGAGTGGTCAGTCTCTCTGACATGGTTGACACATGTCATCGTATCCCAATTGCACAGATCAATGAATATCACTGGATTGTCTGGTCCAAACAGCCTTGATCTAGCTGGAACATTGCTGAGGGCAGCTTTAAACAACAAACAAAATAATCATGATGATGCACAATGAAATGGCACGTCCTAATTGCTTTGAACAAACGATGATTTAATGATGTTGCCCTAATCATTAAGTGGCTTTATATCACGTGTAGGTTCCTGGTGCATATTATATGATGTGATGGTATGTTACAGATGCTTGTATTATGATATATTACCTGTTACAGATGCTTGTATCGTGATATATTACCTGTTACAGATGCTTGTATCGTGATATATTACCTGTTACAGATGCCTGTGTTACATCAGTGGTTGTATGAGATCTACAAGAACTACAATCAAGTGCCTTTCCACAACTTCAAGCATTGTTTCATGGTTGCACAAATGGTAAGTTGGCAACGATAGGAGGTGGCTAAGTGGCACAAGCATTTGCTTGTCATGACTAAGATCCAGGTTTGAGTCTTGACATGGGTTCAATATATGGAGCATATTTCTAGTGTCCCTCACCATGATAGTGCTGCAGTATTGCTAACATTGCATAAAACAGTACACTCTCACTCCCATACTCCCGGAAGGTCGAGGGGTTGATCCCCGACCGCGTCATACCAAAAGACGTTAAAATATGGTACTTGTTCGTCCCTGCCTGGCGCTCGGCATTAATGGGTACAACAAGGACTGGTCGGCTCTGAGTCAGTATAATGTGTCTGAGTGGGGTATTCATGCTTCACTGCGGCATGGTATCTCAGTGGGCTAGCACTATAAAACCAGCTTAAGTCTGGGCTAGTACAAGCAGCCGCACATACACATGCACACGCATGCACGTCGTCATATGAGCGAAATATTTTCAAGCACGACGTTAAACCCAAATTCACCTCACCTCACCCCATACTGACAAAGGGGTGGTTGGATAGCCTTGTGGTTAATCACAACAAATACCCATATTTGATTCCCTGAGGGTATTCAATGTGTGGAAGCCAATACTGGTGTACCCAGCTGTCATTTTGCTGGAATTTTCAGGGCTCGATTTAAGAGATGTTAACCTACTTGCACCAGGTGCAACCTAAGGTAAAATCTTGCACAGCCAAATTCCTGTTGCACTGCAATATGTAATGAAAGAAATATGCTGTTGAATTATTTAGATGTTTTATTCAGAAGTTTACCCACTCAAAAGTTGACTTGCACCTGGTGCAAGTTAAACTAATAACTAGGTTGCAGTTTGTAATATTGGGATGCACCAGTGCAAGTAACAGAGCCCTAAATAAAGCCCTGATATTGCTAAATGGGGCATCAAACCATGGTCAAGGCCTCTCATACTGATAGAGTGGCGTAGGTAGCCTAGTGATTAATACGTTTGTTGGGCAAAGGGTGTAGGTTCTGATTGTCCACATGGGTACAGTGTGTGAAGTAATTTCTGGAGTCAACGCCATGATATTGCTGAATTATTGCTAAAACCATTTTCACTCACTTCCATACTAAAAGCTGCACAGTCTAGCTGCAGCATTGTTTTAGGTAAGCTGATATTTAGTGGCTTCATTGTTTTGAGTTTCAGGTATATCAACATATATTCTAATGTGCTTGCAGACTGGCTTGTTATCCCCCGCAACACGTTTTGCGGGGGGTATTAAAATGGACTCCGTCTGTCCGTCCGTGCACATTTGTCTTTTCCGGAGCATAACTCTAAAACTGTTCAATATTTCTTCACCAAACTTTGCACATACTTGGATCTGGTGGTGTACTGGTGCCTTTTGGTAGTTTTGGAATTCTGAATTAAATATTTTTGGCGTTTCCATGGCAACAAGTTTGACTTTGCCTGAAATTGGTGGTAGTGCTCTTTTCCGGAGCAGAACTCTAAAACCGTTCGCTATTTCTTCACCAAACTTGGTACATGGATAGATCTGGTGGTGTACTGGTGCCTTTTGTTAGTTTTGGAATTCTGAATTAAATATTTTTGGCGTTTCCATGGCAACAAGTTCGACTTGGACTGAAATTGGTGGTAGTGCTCTTTTCCGGAGCAGAACTCTAAAACCGTTCACTATTTCTTCACCAAACTTGGCACATAGATAGATCTGGTGGTGTACTGGTGCCTTTTGTTAGTTTTGGAATTCTGAATAAAATATTCTTGGCATTTCCATGGCAACATGTTTGACTTAGCCTGAAATTGGTGGTAGTGCTCTTTTCCGGAGCAGAACTCTAAAACCGTTCACTATTTCTTCACCAAACTTGGCACATAGATTGGTCTGGTGGTGTACTGGTGCCTTTTGTTAGTTTTGGAATTCTGAATAAAATATTTTTGGCATTTCCATGGCAACAAGTTTGACTGAAATTAGTGATAGTGCTGCTTTCTGGAGCAGAACTTTAAAAACCTTTCAATACTCTCCTTCCACTTTTCTATATACACTACTAAATATTTGACATAATCATAACTCGTAGACATAATCATGAAGAGTATTTTGCCATTGCGGGGGATATTGATGACTTTGTCTTCTTGTTCTGTATTTCAGCTGAATGTATGATCCATCGCTGTTCTGTGTTTCAGCTGAATGTATGATCCATCACTGTTCTGAGTTTCAGGTATATCAACATATATTCTCAGGTGCTTACAGACTGGCTTGTTCTGTATTTCAGCTGAATGTATGATCCATCGCTGTTCTGTATTTCAGCTGAATGTATGATCCATCGCTGTTCTGTATTTCAGCTGAATGTATGATCCAACACTGTTCTGTATTTCAGCTGAATGTATGATCCATCGCTGTTCTGTATTTCAGCTGAATGTATGATCATCGCTGTTCGCTGTTCTGTGTTTCAGCTGAATGTATGATCCATCGCTGTTCTGTATTTCAGCTGAATGTATGATCCAACACTGTTCTGTGTTTCAGCTGAATGTATGATCCATCGCTGTTCTGTATTTCAGCTGAATGTATGATCCATCGCTGTTCTGTGTTTCAGCTGAATGTATGATCCATCGCTGTTCTGTATTTCAGCTGAATGTATGATCCATCGCTGTTCTGTATTTCAGCTGAATGTATGATCCATCGCTGTTCTGTATTTCAGCTGAATGTATGATCCATCGCTGTTCTGTGTTTCAGCTGAATGTATGATCCATCGCTGTTCTGTGTTTCAGCTGAATGTATGATTCAACGCTGTTCTGTGTTTCAGATGTATGGCCTTACATGGCTCATTGATCTGCCGTCCATGTTAGACGATGTCGACATACTCACTCTCATCACATCCGCCATCTGTCACGACCTTGACCACCCGGGCTATAACAACGCGTATCAGGTAGGTGAATAAATGGCATGTCAACACTAACATTTACTTTCTGAAATGATGATCTTTATGATGCGGGTTTTTTAATTATCTTTTAACATATAATAGGAATGCATATGAACATGGAGAAGGTGTCTTCATTTTGAAAAAACGAAGCTGGAGAAATCTTGACTTGCTATAGTGGTTGACACATACTCGTGAACTTCCTGTATTGAGTATGTAACATGTAAAACTTGTTGAATGACATGATGTTTGCTTGTTATTTGGTACTGCACTCAGCAATATTCCAGCTATATGGCGGCGGTCTGTAAATAATCGAGTCTGGACCAGACAATCCAGTTATCAACAGCATGCATATCGATCTACACAATTTTGATACAATGACATGTGTCAACCAAGCCAGCGAACCTGACCACCTGAACCCGTTAGTCGCCTCTTTCGACAAGCAAAGGGTTACTGCAAGCCAATTCTAACCCGGATCTTTAGGGGTTGAAGGACATGAAAAAATGTAATCAACCAGGAAGAATAAGTAGATACTCAGTAGCTAAACAATTATCAGGAGCACTGAATCAAATGATTTGCCAGAAATTTGGTAATTGAAACTAATGTAAAACTGCCATTGATCTGTGTCTTATACAGTAAAGTATTTTCCACAAGTACGTGCTTGGTGGAAAAGATCCAAACCATTAGCTGAGCATTGTGTAACAACTGGAACTGCAAATGTTTTCGAATTTTACTTTTATGTTGAGCTAGCAAGGAATTTTATTTAATGTCAAACACTACAGCCACTTCAAGATGAAGGGTGTGCTTTGTTCTGTACAGTGATTCTGGAATCTTTTCATTTCAATTAAGGACCTTCATCTAAGGTGCTGAGCTGTAAATATGATCATGCTTAAAGTATATTTGATATTGCTGACTAATTTGATCTGTGCCTTTTTTGTTTGCAGATAAATGCTCGTACCGAGCTGGCACTTCGGTATAATGACATCTCTCCACTAGAGAACCATCACTGTGCAGAAGGATTTAAAATATTGGAGAAGAAACAGTGTAACATTCTACGTAATCTTCCCCGAGATGAGTACCGCAGGGTACGAGAGGGTATGATCAAGTACGTAGCCACAGTTGTCTCCCTTTGACGTATCATGCATCACCTTTATTTAAACTGATATGAGAAATCACACTCAGCCTCAGAGTTGCTGGCAATATGTACTCTAAGTCAGTGTAGAAATCAACAAAATCAACCCTGAGAATTCAACCATTGTAGTTATATTACATTAAAGATATAAATGATGCCATTATTGTGTTGGTATATCCAAGATGGCTGATGTTTCTGAGAGACAACGTACAGAACAAACAGCATACATTCATCCAGTCCCTGGTAGCTTCCTATCTTCATGTTCTACTCTTCTTCTGCTTTTGAGGTTTAACATTTATGAGAGAGATGAGGAGATTTGAAAATCATATCTGTTTGTTTGTTGCATTGATTTTGTAAATGAAGAATGTTTTCTACAAAAGAGCGTTTTGTGTTTCAGGTGTATTCTAGCAACAGACATGGCAAAACACAATGAGATTCTACACTCGTTCAAATCCATTGTACCTGCGTTTGACTTTAAGGACAAAGAACATAGATCTGTGGTATGTATGAAACAGGACAAATATTTCTTTAAAAAGAAAAACAATATTTTAAAAAAAATAAATAAATGAAAACCATCAAAATATAATGTGTGAATAAGGTGGATTTTTAATATTTTTGTTTATTAATTATGTTATTTGAAACATGCTGTATTTCTGACAAATTGATTAATTGAAACCAAAACAGGCAAGATCTTAACATCTTGTTTTGAGGATGAACACAATGTTATGTAAATAGTTGGGTACGACGTTCTACAAAATCAGTTTCTTATGAGACTCTTTTTATCGAATGTTCTGTGACTTAAGGAATTACAAGGTGTTGCTATGGTTACACTGACCTTGTATTCTCAGGCTTTATTGATGGAGATATGTTTTTTACCCTGATTGTTTATCTACAGGCCAACAACAAATCATCATAACTGCAGCTATGGTTGTTCAGGCTAAAAAAACATTGCTTCTCAGACAGTGGTCCATATGCACAGAAAATCTCAAGAACATTTTTTTCAAGTCAAGTTTTAATTTTAAAATATTTTAAATATTTTTTTCAAAATTTTACTTTAAAATATATATTTTTCCTTTACTGTTCATTTCTATTTGAAATATTTTATATTTTCCTTTACTGTTCATTTTCAGCACTTTATAAAAAAATGAAAGAATATCACTCCATTGGCAAATTGTATGCACTTGCCTGAGAGACAATATTTTTTACCTATATGGATATTCTTTAAAAATATCATGTTTTGTAAACTTGATATGTGTGCTCCTCTCTCAGCTGATGATGATACTAATGAAAGTATCGGACATTTCTAATGAAGCTCGGCCTCTTGATGTTGCTTGCGCCATGGTCGCATTGTTTACTGCAAGAATTCTTTAATCAGGTTTGCAGACTGTAACAGTGTTTCAGTTTTGTCCCTTTCAGCTTCCACCATGGTGCAGCTGGTTTTATGTTTTCTATGCATGACTTTTGTATCCATCCACAACTGGGAAATGGCGGAAATACTTGTCAGGTGGAACTGTTAAACCGGGTACACTAGATTTGTGGATACGTGGGAAGTGTCAATTTTGGAAAATCTTGCTTCGTTTTAGGCTATTGTTTTGTAGACACACGTGACGATCCGAGTTAGAATTGATCGTCAGTAACCAACGCTTGTCGTAAGAGGCGACTAACGGGATCAGGTGGTCAGGCTCGCTGACTTGGTTGACACATGTCATCATATCCCAATTGCGTTGATCATGATTTTGATCACTGGATTATCTGGTCCAGACGGCGTTAAACAACAAACCATGCAAACAAGAATTGTAGACAGGGCTGTGAGGATGGGAAAAAAACATGGTTCAGGGACTTTGGGACCAACAAGAAAACTCCGAGGAGAGATGGATTACAATTAAGGATCTTATATCAGTTCAAACTGACAAGTATTTTCCTTTCTTTGTTTGACCAGACAAATTTAAATTCTTTCCTTTGACATTATGCTTTGAATTACAAACATGCTTATTACAAAATAATTTTCTGTGACATCGTATGATGCATTTCTTAACCTTCCAATGTTTGGTTGTGACTTGTAAGTAAAATAAAAATTCAAATTTGTCTGGTCTGGAGTATTTGTATTTTATTTCACAGCACAGCATGCATGATGTTCCTACGTGTTCCATTTCGACCTTTGACTTATACTTTTTGCTTGCAGTGAATGTATTCTACAGATTGTACTCTGTTGTTTTTGCCAAAAGAGTCATTAAATTTTGAGTTCAAAGTGTTGGGATTTTTGGGTCTTAATTAAAAGTTTTTGGCCATATTTTAGCAATATGACAGGAATATCACTCACTCGGACACCAAGAATCAACTTCACAAAATTTGCCTGTAAATCTTTGTCTCGGTACAACTTGACCGTTGTACCGAACCGATGTCCTACAGGTACCCTTTCTGCAGCTTTGGGTTAGAAGGGTAGCCTAGTGGTTAAAGCGTTCACTCGTCACGCTGAAGGCCCAGGTTCAGTTCCCCACATGGGTACAATGTGTGAAGCTCATTTCTGGTGTCCCGGCTGGATATTGCTAAAAGCGGCATAAAACTAAACTCACTCATTCTACATCATGTCAGATTGACACATTTGGGTATATTTATTGTCATTCCTGAAAATTGATAACTATGAACATTCCGCCATCTGATCCCTGAATAGCAGATTCTATAAAAGTTTGCAAAACTTAAAAGGAATTTTGTACTCCAGGGTTAATGGTTCTCTGGGCAATATCGGTGGCAGTATCTTTCCAATTTTTGTGTTTTCTGTTTCCACTTGTTTTATTTATTTTTCTGTTTTTTTCCCTTACCTCTCAGCTGTTGATGATATTAATAAAAGTGGCTGACATTTCAAATGAAGTTAGACCCATGGAAGTTGCTGAACCATGGTTGGATTGTTTGTTACAAGAATTTTTCAACCAGGTAAATTCATGAGTTTTAAGACTTTACAATAATATTTTACTGATTATCATATCAATAAATAAATTGAATACCGTTTAAAAAAATAAAATTCAGAAATTATTAAACGATCTATTTATTCATTTCCTTAGATGTTTGGGGAGCAGTTCAAAAATTTCATATCAGTTAAGAAAAGTGTATCTTCCTTTAGTTTTTAAACCAAGCTCCCTAACATTATATTCTGGTTGATTTTATTTGGAAGTCAAGCACAACAAAAGTGTGAGGACCAACAGCAGCACTCTTTTCATCTGGCGCCCCGTGAAGGTCCGGGTTAGAATTGATCTTCAGAAACCCATGTTTGTCGTAAGAAGAGGCGACTAACGGGATCCGGTGGTCACACTCACTGACTTGGTTGACACATGTCATCGGTTCCCAATTGCGCAGATTGATGCTCATGCTGTTGATCACTGGATTGTCTGGTCTAGACTCGATTATTTACAGACCGCCGCCATATAGCTGGAATATTGCTGATTGCGGTGTAAAACTAAACCACTTCTCACTCACTGTCTAGTGTTTCATGTTATTTTGTGTGTTAGTGATATAACTGGAGCTGTACTGAGTTGAACCTTAAAAACCTTGAAACACAAAGTACAAAGTTTACCTGACATTTAAGTTTTGAGATGCTCCCTTGTGGTCTGAAAAGTAAACATTTTGTGTAGAAATAGATTATTTTTAATTGGATCATATGATCTCCTGTAATTGTTATTTTTGTTTTCATTTTTGCAGAGTGACCTTGAAAAGTTAGAGGGGTTACCTGTCGCACCCTTCATGGATCGTGACAAGGTCACGAAGCCATCGTCTCAAGTTGGTTTCATCAAGTTTGTTTTGCTGCCATTGTTTGAAGCTCTTGGGAGTCTCTTTCCCAAAGTAGAGGTAACAGTCTTGTTTGGGTCACTTTATTTTTGGTGAATAGGTGAGGGTGAATTTTAGCCTGGGGGGCCCGCCTCCGTGGTGTAGTGGTTACAGCGTCCGCCCGGAGAGCAGAAGGTCGCGGGTTCGATCCCCGGCCGCATCATACCAAAAGACATTAAAATATGGTACTTGTTGGTCCCTGCCTGGTGCTCGGCATTAATGGGTACAACAAGGACTGGTCGGCTCAGGGTCAGTATAATGTGTCTGAGTGGGGTATTCAGGCTTCACTGCGGCATGGTATCTCAGTAGGCTAGCACTATAAAACCAGCTTGAGTCTGAGCTAGTACAAGCACGACGTTAAACGCAATTTCACCTCACCTTTAGCCTGGGGGAAAAAAGGAATGTTTTTAGCTCAACACATGTTTTTAGGAATATTTTTAGCTCAACACATACCTTTAACATTTTATGATGTTTTGGCCTCATAGTTGTCTTGAATATTTTGATATTTTTGGGGCTCAGAATGTTTGCTAGAGACAGGACATTTTCTCAGCTTCAGTTTGGAGAAACAGTTTTTTCTTTGATAAGTTGAGCGAAACATTTTTTTTGAGAGGATATTCTGCAAATAAAAACCCTGATGAACCAATTCATATTCCTAGTTTTTCTGGAACAAATCAATTTTGTTAAGAAATCCTAGCCAACTTATAGTCCGTTTGGCTCAAAAGCGGACCGATGAATTGCAATCTAACTCGAAAACTAATAAACATAACATACTCAATGAAACGCTGATCATAATCAAAACATCATACCCACTCTGTGAGGTGTTTTGCAGAATTTTTGTCCTAAAAATAAAAAAGTTGTTTAAGAAACTATCATTAAAATATTGACACAGTTCACTGTTTGTTACGAGGGAGGAGTGCAGAGAAAGGGACAACCAGGTGTTCGAAAAGCACGTTCACAGACAAAGTTATTTATTCATTAACCTGTGCTGTGCCATCTCCATCCGTTCTCGAACATCTGGCTGTCCCTTTCTCTAAGAAGTTTGTAGCGTTACAAACAGTTCGAGAATAGCTAGCCTGGCAATTAGGTGCCTGTCTCTGAGAGTGTGGGTTTAAATCCTAGATCCTGATTCAGTATACGTACTTATGTTACATTTGACCATATTCTAAATGGCATTGGGGCGGTGGGGTAGCCTAGTGGTTAAAGCGTTGGCTCGTCGCGCCGAAGACCCGGGTTCGATTCCCCACATGGGCACAATGTGTGAAGCCCATTTCTGGTGTCCCCCGCCGTGATGTTGCTGGAATATTGCTAAAAGCGGCGTAAAACTAAACTCAGTCAGTCAGTCTAAGTGGCATTGTGTATTCACATCTTTAAATACTTACCTACTTACCTAATTCCACTTGCAGCCCGAAATCATCGAGCCTGTGCGGAAAGCGCTGGAATACTACACAGAGATGCAGAAGGCATTGGAAGAAGAAAAGAAGAAGAAAGAGAGCACTCATGGACTAACAAAACAAAATGGCATCACACCTGCTCAAGTCAGTAAAGGGAAGGTGCAAACATAGTACCCAACTGAATTAGGATCAAACACAAGACCATAAGCAGACGCAGAGGAAGGGAGGTAACTCCCATTTCAACATTTCAATGGACAAACCTCTACACTTTAAGGTGCTGCAAATATTGGACCAAGTGTTGAAATGGAAATGATTACAGGCTTTGAAGGATTGTAATGGGAGGAGCCTGACTGTTTTCATTCAAGGTTTCTAACACTGACAGATTGTGATTTTAATGATCAAACTTTAAGAAAACAATGTGCAAGTTGCAATTCTCAGAGTTACGCCATATCATGACTTCCAACGAAAAACATGTTCTGAGGATGAAAATAGCTCTTTTGTGGATTAAGTTAAAGTTCAAAATGAGTTATTTTTAACAATTATGTTGAAGGTCCTATGACAGACCTAGGTATATACATATATATATATATATATGTGTGGGTGTGTAAATACATATATATATATGTTTTAGAGATCCTCAGTCGAAGATATAGCTTGTTATAAATATCAAAACTGGTGCAAACTGTTGAGTGTGATTCAAGATCAGTTTGATGACATCTCTGTGCTGAAGATGGAATTTTGAACGGAAAATTCTTCTGGAGGATTTTGACAGCTGACATGTCCGCTTCTGTTGAAACGTGGAGTCAATATTGAGGAGAAAATCAACAGGGTTATGTTCTAATCTGTGTTCACATGTGACTCAAGCTGCCATGTGTTGTTTGATTCAGTGTTTCGCCACCTTCAAGTCACGTGTCAGCGTGTGATATTGACAAGTTTGTGATAGAAGTTGTCATGCGTGCATGCTGTTTGGAATCTGGTTCGTCGTTAAAGATAATTGCTTCATTGAAGCAACGTTTCAGTGTTACCATTTAACGTGGATTCAGTGACTGTCATTTTTAGGTTTTTCTCCATATTCAGGGATTTTTGGTTACTTTGACAAAGAACTTTGTATATTTTATCATTTGGAGAGGTACCTCATTGTCTGATTCTGTTTTCCTTCATGATAAACTTCTATGATATTAGTGTGGACATAACGGTGGAATTTATCCTAACAAGTGCATGTTGAACAAACCAAGACCAAGCTCCCCTTGAAGTAATCATTGTGAATATTTAACTTGTACATGTTAAATAGTACTGGAGGTAGTGGGGGTAGCATAATGGTTAAAGCGTTCGCTCATCACGCCGAAGACCCGGGTTCAATTCCCCTCATGGGTACAATGCGTGAAGCTGTTTTTCTGGTGTCCCCTGCTGTGATATTGCTGGAAGATTGCTGAAGCTGCCATATAACCTCACTCACTCTCTTTTAAACATAAAGCCCTTGGGCAGATTCACTGCCATACAAATGATTGGTTATTAAATAGGATTTAAATTTACTTTGTTAAAATTACAAAATGATTATTTCTCATGAACAAAGATACAGAGAAAGTGAGGCAATATTCTTGTTTTTTAGATTAGCCTATTTCTTTTTTTTCAAATACAGTGGAAGCCCTCTAAACCAGCAGCCCTCCAATCCAGCATGCTCTCAATATCGGTCCCCGCAGAAGCTAGTTAACTTATGATCATTTACACGCCCTATAATCCGGCGTCAGTCTATTCCGTATTTCGGCACAGCAAAGACCGCCCAAATGAGTGTTTGTACAGTAATTAACGCTCTCTAAATCTGCATCCGGTATCTCGGCCTATTTCTGGCCCTATTTTGAAAGAGAAAGCAATTCAGTTTGCTTCAGAATTAAATGTCAACGATCTAAGGCATCAGATGGGTGGCTGGCACGCTGGAAGACACGATACGACATGACACAGTTCAATGTGAGCGGTGAAAGGGTCACTGTAGGTCAGAGTGAACTTGACAAGAATATGATGACTATCAACATTTTGTTCAGTCGTATTTTACGACACACGGATCATTCTCAGGTTGAAAAGGGAAAAAGTTGTCTATACCGGCACGCCCTCTATACCATCATTTTTGACGGTCCCAACGCATGCCGATTTAGAGGACTTCCACTGTAATTAGAAATTATTTTTTTGTGTCCTTTAGTTTCAGTTTTTCTCACAACTATATTTTGGTGCTTTTATAGAAAATTGATGTCAGTCTAATCCGGGCATTTTCCTTCTGAGCCTTTTTGGTTGTGTTACATTCTGTTGTTTGACTGTAAACAAGAAAGGAATGTGGTGTAACCTTTTGAGATCAAATCAATGAAGTAGTCCTGAGTTGATATTACATGCTAGATATGGCGTTTTGCACATGACTTTCAGATTTTGTTGAACACATTGTAATGCCGATAAATAACTAAAACTCATTCAGTTATTTTCTGTGGTTGTCATCTGAAACAGTTTATACAGATATGAAATTTGTGTTTAGAATTCAAGGTGCAAGTTTGGGTAGGCTTTGGTAGTATTTCCACTCACTGAAACAAAAGAACAGGCTTTGTGAAAGGATACATTTCAGTTTGAGTGTTTTGGGGTCAGTGGATCCCTAGATGAAGCCCTTAATTACATTCTGGCCAAATCTTAATGAAATACTGAGTAATAGTATTTGCACAGCTTTCTGCTATGCTTGTTATACCAATGTTAAGTATTAGATTCTCGAGTGTCACTTTCTGCAATACTTGTTATGATATTGGAATGTAACTTTCAAGAAATGTCACAGTGAGCAAATTTGTTTTGTTCCTGTTTTTGTTTTCTATGTTACTTTTCTATTATTATTTTATTGTTCAGGCCAGACCAATATTATTACTTGTTTTACCGATTTTTGTCCGAAGAAAGCCTAAAGGCAATGGGAAAAAAAACAAAAAAACAAAACAACAACAACAACAAAACAGTCACCAGTCAAAGAGAAAACCCACATGAGTTTTTCAAAGGCATTTTTATCAAGTTTTTTGCTGAGGTGCCTGAAGCACTGATTTCAAACACAAAGTCTCTGGAAACAGATACCGGCGTTTAGAGTCCAACAAATGACCTTGCATAGTCGATGTGTCGCTCCTGTATAACTTAACATTAGAATTTTATTTTTCAAGTGGGGAAAATTAATTTTTTCATTTTTCTTAAAAAATAATGACAAAAACAAGAAATAAAATTGGTCTGGCCTTAGTTTAGTTTACAAGATTAAGGAATTGACATCAGGGGTCTGTTCAATAAAATAATCGTGTAGTGTTAAGGTGATCGTAACTGTCCAACTTTAACATAGACTTACGACTGACATTGCGCTTGAAGGCTTTGTTGGACAGAAGCCTGGTTCCATTTATAGGAATTTAAACACTAGACTGCCAACACTTCAGTTCAGATATTTTTACATTAGAATCATCTATTTATGTGAATGTCTCTCCCTCCTAATCAGTAACATGACAATAACTCTTCACAAATAGAAATTATTATGAGATTTAAAAAATAATTTTTGGTGTTTTGATGATTATGGTATGTATTTCATGCTTAATTTCTGCAATATTAGTTATAACTTGAGAATTTTATACTATTTGTTTAACCATGTAATTTTACTGTGTGAATATGATTTTGAAAATCTCAGTAGTTTTACTCTCCAGTTGATACATATGGTATATATATTGTTTTCTTTAATCTTGTAAGTTTTTATAAGCAACATATTTTAATGGCAATGTTTACAATATATTTCTTATTGTGGAAGAACTATTTTACTCTTTGATTTTATACTTTTAATTTAAATGTTAATGTAAAAATTCAGAACTGGTCTCTATATAGCATCTGGGAAAATATTTAAAATCTCATCAATTTAAAAAATAACATAACTGACTTGCTAAAGTTGTTGTTAGGTTGCTAGTATTAGTTCAAGTATTAGCCTAAAGCCTGAAGAATTAAGAATTCAGAACTTTTAATTCATATGAACATGTAATCTCCTTTGACCAAATGACTGTTATTAGCTGAAGATGTAAGACAACCACATTAAATTCAGATCTTCGGTTATCAGGTACCTCTGCTGAAGAGGTAATGTCAGGTTAACTTTGTGCTAAGGTCTCAGAATGCAATCAGGACAGAACATCTGATTTCTGTACTTTTAAAACTAAAATGACAAGTTCAAATGGTTGTAAAAAGAGACAGTGTCTTGATATGTCAGGGTGTATAAAATACCGAACAAATTTCTGTGCCCCAAGGATTCTACAGTCCAAAGGGAGTGCTATCAGAGGTATATTTGTGGTTTGTATAAGTTTCTGTAGTACTAATAAACATTTCTAACATCAAGTGACAAAAAAGTAAAGCTGCATCATTGCAGAAAGTTGATTCATGCATTCTTCACATAGATGGGTCGTCACGCCAAAGACCCGGGTTCGAATCCCCACATGGGTACAATGTGTGAAGCCCATTTCTGGAGTCCCCTGCCGTGATGTTGCTGAAATATTGCTAAAAGCGGCGTAAAACCAAACTCAGATAGTCAGTCTTCACATAGATGGGGTAGTCAAAGTTCACTAATTGTTCACCTTATACAACTCATTATGTCACGACGTTAAACCCAATTTCACCTCACCTCATTATGTTTTTATTTCCTCGATCAGAAGTGTTGTATCTGAGTGAATGATCTGAATTTAATTACATTGGATGTAATCAGGAAACAGTCTTTTCTTTAAGTGAAATGAATGTTTTAAGTGAAAACGTCCAGAACAAGTTGACCATTTTGTGCAAGTCATTACCTAGAACAAGCCTCTCATTGGTGGAGTCTTTCAAGTGTGCACAAGGGCAGGTAACTCTAAAGTCATAGCTTTACTGTTTTGTACCATAGGAAGATAATGAAGGAACAGGATGAAGGAACAAGATTTTCTATGTTATGAAAGAAGTTGGTGCATTGAATTAGGTATTTAAGTATTTCATATATGTGAATGAAAGTGTGAATGTGTGTCAAGGTTCTATGGCAACGGGTAAGTGTGATCCTTCTGTTTGTCTGCCCAAACCTGTTGAGTTCAGTGTACACAGGTACTGAGCAATTATACATTTGAATATCTTCAACAAACATATCCATCTTTCAGCTGCTCTGAGGTTTCAAACTGTATTAATAACCTTTTGTAGATTTTATTTCAGTACAAGAAAATTATGATTTGCACGATTGTTTAAGAGGTCGGATGAAAAATAGAATATATTTTGAAACATTGTTGAATATCTAGATCAACGTTAACAGAGGGGTTGCACTCACATGGGAAATGTATATTTTCCCATTAGGGACTGGTAATTTTTTATAGGGGATGGAAAGAAGGAGGGAGGGAGGGAGGATGAGGAGAATGACATAGCAAATGGGGGTGGCCAAGATTGTAGGGTGTGTGTTTGTGGAGGGGGAAGGGGGTGGATAATGAGATTCAGTCCAACCCCATCTTAATCATCCCCTGTAGGGGTGATGGGGTATCCTAGTGGTTAAAGCGTTCTCTCATCACGCAGAAGGCCAGAGTTCGATTCTCCACATGGGTACAATGTGTGAAGCCCATTTCTGGTTCCCTCACGTGATATAGCTGGAAGCGTCTAAAATCTGCGCAAAACCAAACTCACTCACTCATCCCCAGTATTACAAAAAATGACCAGTCTCTAAAGATGGACAATATTAAGGAAGTGTAAATCCCTAAGAAAATAGATATGTTGTGGTCATAATATTAGGCTCCTCTCAGAGAATGAAACTGAATGGCGTGAGAGAAGAAAATCTCGAACCAAAATGCCAGCATCCCTCCACCTCCAGAAATGGTCAGTCTTGAAGTGAACAATCCCTTCAATGTTTTTAATGTCTTATTGAGATTTTTGTTATATCATCATTGTTCTTTCATATTGTTAAATATATATTTATTAGTTTCATTTTCCATCATTTTAAGCCCAGAAGTAGACATTATTGAGGACAAAAATGTAATACTTTTATATTTACAGACAGATTTTGTACCACTGGTCTGATAAACTCACTTGAAGACAACCTGGTATATAATAGATTTTATCATATACAAACTTCATTAAGAAGTTAGAAATGTGGAAATGCTGACTGGTCAAGGTCTTGTAAGGTCAAGGTGACCTGATTGGCAGTTGATAGCAGAAATAAAGTTTTGAAAAGAACTCAAATCTTCTGTCAATAAATGTGTATTTCATGTTTGAATGTTAACTGAAACGTCTCATTGTGTGGCAGTTGATCTCATGGACTCCGCAGCTCAATGATGAAGTTTCTGGAGCAGAACTGAAAACCGTTCAATATTTCTCAAACTTGGCACATACATGGATCATTTGTGCCTTTGGTAGTTTCAAAATTCCTGAATTAAATATTTTGGCGTTTCCATGGCAACAAGTTTGACTTACACTGAAATTGGTGATAGTGCTCCTTTCTGGAGCAGAGCTTTCAAAACCTTTTCTATATACACACCTAAATATTTGACATAATCATAACTCGTAGACATAATCATGAAGATCATTTTGCATCTGATCAAAGTCAGTCACCTGAGGAAAGAGGAAAGCCTAGAGGTTAAAGCATTTCAGCTCGTCCACGTGAAGACCGGGTAGTTCCCCACATAGGTACCATGTGTGAAGCCCACTTCTGGTGTGTCGCCATAATATTGCTGG